AATCTCGGGATGTATATTTTTCTAAATTTTTATATAATTTCAAATAAACTAATTTTAAACTTCGGATATTTTTGTTCCATAAAATCCTATCGGCTTAGGAAAACATCTGCTGTAAATAAATTTGTTGTGCATCAAAATAAAGTTTTGGTAACAATTATGTTAGAAAACGAGCTAATTGTTATGAATATTAAATACAAGATATAGACAATATGAAAGTAACACAAGATTTACATGAAAACTCGAAATGGAAAAAAATCACGGACAGATGAGAAAAATTCACTAATAATCAATAATGGAGAATTACAAAAGACCACTCTTGACCAAATTAATAAGTTGGACAATTGGTCAATCTCAATATGTGTGTGTTGTACACCCCATATTTATAATCAAAGAATCCCTAACACACTAGAAAATATAATACAATGAAGAATCTAATATAAGGTGGAATCCTAATGTAATAGGTCTAACAAATAATTGAGTATTTGAGTTCAAATAAGAGAGAAAAATTGCCTAAATCACGAAACCTTCTCCTTATGTGTCTTGGACTCATTCAAAATTTCTTCAAGTCATACTATCAACTCTTAATAGAACTCCCAATTATATTTCCAATAGAATTCGAGTTACACCCAAATTTTAACAAATCTTTACATTGACATGAATTTCAATACAAGCAACAAAACTTCAATTCAATAATAATTCTCTGCCTCGAGACGAATTCCACTGTACGAATAGAACTTATCTCTTCATCAAAAATTCTCCAACAAAACTCTTCACAAAAAATTAACAAAATTCTGAACCTCTTCCACAAAAGCCTCTAAGGGCAAACTCAACAAATGTCAACTGAATTCATGCACTACTTATCAGTAGAATTACATTGGATACCAAATTTGCTTGAATTGTCACCATGAGCAACAAGATTATCAAGATCACAACTAAGTCCATCGGAGTTACCAAATTTGCTCGAATTATCACTACTAGCAATAAGATCGTAACTAACTCCATCTGAGCCAACACATATCAAAGTATAAGCAATCAAATATGCCTCATCGAACCTCCCCTGAGGTCTAATATCTCTGTTCTTCAATTTAGTAACAACTGCATCAAACATGATCATAGAACCCTACAAGACATATAAGTGGGACCTACTCTACCCTTTTATCACAACTCGATCCTTACAATGTTTCTCCTTCAACATCCAAAAATAAAATTTTGTCATAACAAAAATTTGGCATCCAAAAGAGGAAAATCAAACTTCATACTTGTCATGCCGAATATCAAACTTCGATCTGAGTTGATCAAACCTCGCTCTAATACGAAACCGAGCTCGTTAATTCAGGAACTATTAAGTCTAGCTTTGATACCACTTGTTATGAAGTAAACGAGCCAATACTAATTTGTTATGATACTAGTTTGTTACGAAAAACGAGAATAGACAATATAAAAATAATAATTTTAAAAACACAAGATTTACGTGAAAATTCAAGACAAGAACATAATCACGGGCATGGGAGGAAAACTCACTAATAATCAATAATGAAGGATTACAAAGGTCCTCTCTAGACCAAATTAATAAGTTGGACAATTGGTCAATTTTAATATTTGTTGTACATCACATATTTACAATTAATAATTGCTAACACATTAGGAGAATATAATATAATGAAGAGTCGAATATAAGGTGAAATCCTAATTTAATATATCTAATAAATAATGGAGTATTTGAGTTGGAATAGGAGATAAAAAATTGCCAAAATTACGAAACATTCTCCTTATCCATCTTAGAATTCTTCAAATCATACTATCAACTCCCAATTAAATTTCCAATAGAATTTGGGTCACACCCAAATTTTAACAAATTAAATGCCCAAATATTAGATCTAGAGCAATGCATTATTTCACGGTAGGGGGGAGTAAGTAATTTTATTATGAGGTCTGAATCATATGCAAGGAAATATCCTGAATGAAACGTGACAAGACACCGCGTATTCTCAACGTCACATTTGTTGGAAATTATGGGAGCGGTCGATGGAGGAATTTCAATCTTCCTTCCACATTCTTTTAATTATTTTTAGTCTTAGAATTTGGACAGGAAATTAATACATACCTTTAATCTTCGAATTTGAACAGAAAATGAACGGTGTTTTTATTTACAAACAGCATAAATCTTACTGTTTTATGTCTCAAATTTTGGACCACAGATTAATATCATTATTTAGAACTTTGGACAAAACAAATTGAGAATTACTAAAGATTTAGCTAGCCTATCATGTTTGAATTACAAAAATACATAATAAATTGAGAAATCATAACCCAAAAATATATAATTGCAAGATAAAATTTGAATATTAATTTTTGTCTATTTCAATGTCTTCAATAGAGTGCTCAAGAAGTCCCACAAAGCTCTTGATGGTTAGTGTATTGAATGTATGTTTTTATCTCCCCCCAAAACTCTCTTCCCCTTTTGCTAGATGAATAATCCTATTTGTAGCCTCTAGAATTAGGTGATTTTTGTGCTCCAATCCTATTCCAGGTAGAACTTGACTTAAATTAAGAAACAAAATATTTTCTACCTTGTAAAGTCATGCGATCGCAACCAACATGATCCCAGGGTACTCTTGGTTGCGATCGCATGGCTAGAGTCTTGCGATTGCAAGGTACATCCTCTTTGCTTCCGATTCAAGTTAGTCACTAAATTTCCCTATTGATCCAGCCTTCATCTTTCAAATATTTATACCTTAGTCCCCATCTTCAATAATTTGTTACTTCTTAGTCCTTATCATTCAATTTCAACTCCGTTTCTTCATATGCCATACAATATCTATCAATCAATATACAATCAAAATTAAGTATCAATTCAGTAAAAATCCTTCCAAAAGTCCACTTTTATGCCCATGATAAGTACAAAATTATACTTATCGTTAAAGTAAATAACAAAAACCTCTCATGAGATTTACAAGAAATATAGATTTCTCATTTGAAAAATAAATAATTAAAATTGATCACAATATTAAAACATCTTAATCATAATACTGTGAAATTTGATTTCTCATTTTAAAAATAGATCTAAAATATTGGCTAAAAAAGAAACTACAAAAGTCTGAACTTTACTCTTTGATGCCAAATTTATTACGATATTATTAGTGTAATTTTCTAAATGCAGTTTAAATGTTAAGTGTGTGAACCAGTAAAAATTATAGAAAATGCTACTAAATCAAGAAATATGAAATATTTAAAAAATAATTTTATTAAATTATTCTATAACATGTGTTTGTGTTCATTTTTAAAATTTTTATCAATAACATTTGCAAAACATATAATATTTTTAAAAAATAAATCATATTTTACAATTTTTTAAGATATTATGGCAATTTATAATGATAATTCTTTTAAATAAAACTAATAAAAAGTATATTTAAGGAAAAAAAAAAAGGAAAAATAGTTTAATTGTGTGTAATAAGAATTTCAAAATAGTGTTTACTTAATTTACTTAACAGTGTTTTTAATATAAAAACAGCATCAATCTTACTTATGTTTGAAAATGGAAGTTGTATTGATGGATGGCGATTTATTTCAGTTTCTACCACACTCAAAAAAATAAATAAATAAAAAAATCCTAACTTCTTCAAATGCTGTTGTGACTATGTGGAGGATATGGCATTTTTAATTCAATGGTCATACTCCTCCAGAATTATCCATAAAGACAAAACTAATGTCTCAAATTTCAGACCACACATTAATATGCTTTATTTAGAATGTTGGACAAAACAAATACAAAGTTTTTAAGGTTCGATTCTGACACATTTACGTAGAGGAAATTCAACATTTGAATAACCTTAACCAAGACCTAGTTATGTCATAGAATTTGGCCACAACGGCACTAAATATGGATAACAATAAGGTGATACATTAAATTGGAAGTCACCCGCACCACTTCTATGTTCATTTGGATATTGTCACTAGTTATATGAGTATTGATGTTATGAAATCTTTTAACTTCGTTTTAGAATTTGAGTATCCATCACTGTCTTTGTATAGAAGATTGATGACACGTGTAAGATTGACTACTCATATTAGAACAGCCATTGGTACTGTAGTTGAATGAAGGCATTCTTGGTTTATATCCTACTCATGAGATTTACAAGAAATATAGATTTCTCATTTTAACAATAAATAAATTAAAATTGATCACATTATTAAAACATCTTAATCATAATACTGTGAAATTTGATTTCTCATTTTAAAATGGATCTAAAATATTGGCTAAAAAATAAACTACTTAGGACCACTGCTGTAAATTTTTGTTCTATAAAATACTAACCACTTAGGACCGCTGCTGTAAATAAATCTGTTGTGCATCAAAATACAGTTTTTGTAGTTATTCAATGCCAAAATATTATTAGATCTCAATGCATTATTTCCAGATGTGACAGAACACATCTCAATGCCCACATTTTTTTGTGGGAATTATGGGAATGCCGGTGGAGGAATTTGAATGTTCATTCTATATTCTTTTACTTAATTTACTTTTAATCTTAGAATTTGGACAGAATATTAACAATGTTTTTAATATAAAAACAGCATCAATCTTACTTATGTTTGAAAATGGAAGTTGTGTTGATGGATAGCGATTTATTTCATTTTCTACCACACACAAAAAAATAAAAATAAAAAATCCTAACTTCTTCAATGCTGTTGTGACTATGTGGAGGATATGGCATTTTTTTTAATTCAATGGTCATACTCCTCCAGGATTATCCATAAAGACAAAACTAATGTCTCAAATTTCAGACCACACATTAATATCATTATTTAGAACGTTGGACAAAACAAATACAAAGTTTTAAGGTTCGATTCTGACACATTTACGTAGAGGAAATTCAACATTTGAATAACCTTAACCAAGACCTAGTTATGTCGTAGAATTTGACCACAACAGCACTAAATATGGATAACAATAAGGTGATACATTAAATTGGAAGTCACCAGCACCACTTCTATGTTCATTTGGATATTGTCACTGGTTGTATGAGTATCGAAGTTATGAAATCTTTTAACTTTGTTTTAGAATTTGAGTATCCATCACTGTCTTTGTATAGAAGATTGATGACACGTGTAAGATTGACTACTCGTATTAGAACAGCCATTGATACTGCAGTTGAATGAAGGCATTCTTGGTTTATATCCTTCCACGCATTCATGACTTGTGTTTGAAATACAACAAATGCTTCTTCTTTTGAAGCCCCTTTCTCTTTCATATAACAATCAACTGCCGTTATTTTTTGCTCAAACTGCATAAAAGTAACACAACCCAAAACTTGTTAATTTTAACGTTATTTTTCTCATGTGTTGAGGGCCATTAGAACAAAAAACCCATGTGATGAACTTGTATAATTCAAATAAAATCAATTTATAAGAATTCAAACTTCTTACCCCATGTCCAACCATATCGTCCATTAGTCTACAAATTATTGATGAAGCACGAACTGATAATGGTTCACCTGAAATCCAATCAAAGGCTTCCTTATTTACCGGTTCTCCCATGCCTACCGAAGATGTTGTAGAGAGCATCATGTAACCACAAGATACTAGTGCGACTTTCATATACTCCTCTAGTGTTGGAGCATATCCATTGTATGTCCATTTTGCCTCTTCGAAATATGCACGGACTAGTTTTTTCATCTGTAATTTGAAAATGCGATTAGATATCATTGGACGTAATTTTGCTTAAAGTCAAGCAACTTCATTAATATTGATTACCTCATCAATCGCGTACTGAACACGATACGATTTTCCTATCTCTCCTAACTCTCTCTCAGCTTCGAGATAAACATCTAAAAGAGATTCATAAAAATATTTCATGTACGATGGTAACTGATCTATGGCACTAATATCCCACCTGCTCACGAAAATATTCAATATCAAATTGGAATCTATTTGAAATATATATTTCACTATAAATAAATATGCTATTAGATATTAAGATACAAAGAATTACTCAAAACTCACCTTGCAATTGCATCTGTGAAAAGTTTAAGTTCGTCTATGGTCCCATAAACATCATAGATGTCATCAATAATAGAACCCATGGCAATTACTTTGGTTAGAATTTTCCTTGCAAGAGAGTATTTTGGCTCAAAGTAGACAGATAATATCCAAAAGTAGCATTCCACCAGCCTATCTCTTGCAAATGGCAATTTTTTCCCAAACTCTAAAGCCTTCCACCACCTGCAATTTACATCCGAAAGTAAAATTTTAACAATTTTTCAGATATATAAGTGCAAGTACTAAAAGCTTCACAAAACAAACCAACCTTGTAATGTCGCTTAACTCCTTCTGGTGGATCTTCTGCACTATGTTGAAGTCTAATTTTGCGAAATTCTGGAGCATGTCTTCACCTGATATTTGGTAAATGGATAAGAATTTCTTAACTCCGAGCCTTGTCAAAGTTTTATGAATTGGCATCTCCAAGGCGTCACTAACTTGTCTGGAGAGAGAATTGCTCGCCTGGTGGATCGAGGATCCGAGCTGAGTGGCAGAAAACTTCAATGCTTCTTCTAGAATTTCCTCCCCGTGTACTCCAAAGTGTGCAGCCTCGTACAAGCTTAACAGCCCTGGTACATCGCTAATCAAAGAATCCTCAAATTTTCCTTGGCTGTCCTTGAATTTGTTGAACACATCTGCCTCAGCACCAAAAAATATGAAATGTAACCTTAAATGTGTAAGGTGCAATAAACTTTTCATGTAACATATTCATGTTTGGTCATGTTAAAGAAAAGTTAATTTCGTTAGTAATAAAGTAGAATTAAAAATCATAACTAACTAAAAAGTATATTCGACTTGCTTTGAAGCTTAAGAGAAATAATTTATTGTATGTGTATATATAAGATATTGACAATTTAATTTCCCAACATATAATAAATCATGAAAATAAAAATTACTTACCAAATGAGACATAATATCCTTGTTGTCCGAGTAATCGAAATCGAAGAGCAACGGTACAAAGATCATTGTTTTGTTTATTGTGACTTTCATGATAAGTTTCATACGTGCATTTTAAAGATTTTTCAATTTCTTTTTCAAAATGTTAACCAACTCCAAGACGTTGGATTGCATCGATGAGGTCTAGTTTATACAATGAATCATCTGGGGCAGCCACTAGCAACTTTTTCACTTCTTCTTTTAATCTTTGATGTTCTTGCTCTTCGTGGGCCAATATATCCTGGTCAAGTAAGAGGAAGCATGCATTTAACATTTTAACACAATTATATTTCAGTTAAATAATGAGGAACAAAAGTTCTATCTAATTTACATTAGAAGAATACGCAAGGAAATGATCTCCCCAAATGCTAGGATAATATTTGACAGAGCGACGAGTATCCTGAATGCTCATATTTTTGATGGAAAATGGAGCAGCAGATGCATGGATTTGGATATCCATTAATTCTATATTTGACACTTGAAATAAATCAAAGAAATGCTTCTCACTTCAATGGGATTGTATGAATTTACGAGCATGTTTGATGGGTATTTATAGTCATCAGACGAAAATATCTTTCACCATATGACACGGAAAGTTCGGGCCACATCAGGAATATCTAGGCCAAGAAAATTTACACCCATTTAACTAATTCAAAATATATCTTAACTAATTTTTTTTTTTTTTTTTCATTTGCATATAGTGAAAAATATTTTTGACAGAAAATATAGCAAGTTCATTGGGGATTACATCAAGGAAATTTCTTTTAGAAGTGTATTATCAGTACCTGTTTCATGTCCTCTTATTCTTACTAAATAAGAATTAGTGAATTCATTTCTGCAGCTGGAAATTTTAGCATTTAGTCAGATGGATTGGAACCCTAGTTCCAGTTAAAACATTATTTGCTTTCTATTTTCTAAAAAGACGAAGCTCAAATGTCTCAAGATTTAAATTTAAAAAACAAATTAGCATGATGAAACATGTTTTTGCCATCGCATTCTAGCTGGATCCCACATCCAAATTATTCAGTTGGCAAGAATACAATTTCTAGAATTTGCATTTCAAATTTAAGCACACTTGTCAATTTAGTACATAGATTCAACTAAAGTCATTCTTAAGGGAAATGTCAAGGGTTTAAATCCTGAGACCGAGATAGAAATCCGTGAGGGATAAAATGAGTTCAAACTCTTCCAGAGCGGACAACATGTAAGTTAAAGACTTGGCACATAGGTTAGGTCGATACAATAAATCGGCGTTTTTGTAAGGATCTAGGTCTCGTATCCAAACCGTTATATCATACGTACGGTCCGTTTTGAGAGAGTTTGAGTCCATCTTCCTCCTCAAGAATTTTTATTGCATCCCCATGATTTGAACCCTTGACCTTTCAACTTAAGTAAGAGAGCGGACAATACACATGATATAACGAATTAGGCACGAAGTCCGAGTCGTTACATATTGGGTATACATACCTATATTAGTTTTCTCTAATATCCCTTCTATCAGAAGGATTTATTGAAGGGAAAAAATTTACTCTTTCCCTTCGTAACATGGTAAGTGTAATGGCAGGTGGACATAAGTATCTTGAAACTAGTGTAGGCTTTGCTTATTTTAGTCTTGAAATTTTGGGGATGAGGCATAATCAATAACACTTCTAAGGTTTTGACATTAAAATGTTGTTGAAAACTTAATTTAGTTAAATAAATGAGACTCGTGTTAAATAATTTAAACTTTTAGATGTGATAGTTCAATATAATATCAAAGGATGCGGAGGGTCCTGAGTTCATTTGTAGTTGTTATCCACATATTTTATTTTTTAATCAAAATACTATTAAAGAAGGCTTATGCTAAATGTACATAATCCTTTACACCTCTCTCACATGAAGGGAGACCTACACACAATAAAATATTTGTGGTCTCCCTCCATGTGAGAGTTGTGTAAATGATTGTGTAAACCATGAAGTGTACATGTAGCACAATCCATTAAAGCCTAGACAGTATTTCTAGGCCTCCACCAAGACCCATGGAAATTTGGATTCTTTGACCGTGTCTTATAAATAAATAAATGAAGTACAAGAGGGGTTGGAGGCGTGTTTGCCTTACCTTCGAAACTTACAACGAGAAAAGGAAAGAAGATTTTGAAAGTGCTAAACATAAAAAAATAGTACTTCCACTACATTTTACTTTAAGGACACACAAAACTTTCTACTAATTCAATGAAAATATAAGTAGAAATAAATAAATATTTTAGCGATATCAATACAAAAGAATGAGCTGCACAGGAGAATACGTGGTTTTATCCTGTAATTGCATTTGAGAAAAGTGAAAATTCATCGAGGATCCCATAAATATCATAGGGAAGTCATAGTGCATATTTGGTTTAACGCTTCCTGCAACAACTTATTTACCTCTTCTCATAGTCTTTTTCTTGTTCTTTATGACAAAATATTTCCTGCCCAAGTGTTTTAAAGCTTAAATCATTTTAATATGCATGACACAATTTATATTTTAATGCAATGTGCATACTTTTTTTCTACAGCAAGTAAATTGAAGCATTTAGGTAGATGGACCACCAGTACCATTTTGCAACACAAACACTGCAAAATGACAATTTATTTGCTTCCCATTATCCAAAAATACAAAGCTCAATTTTGTGCTCCTTCTAAATTTGAAGATTATAAAGATATGTAGGCCTAGAAAGTCTTGACCACACATCAGCTATCTGCTTGATGGGTCTTTGGTTTACAATTAGGGAAGTCATAGTGCATATTTGGTTTAACATTTCCAGCAACAACTTATTTACCTCTTCTCATAGTCTTTTTCTTGTTCTTTATGACAAAGTATTTCCGGCCCGGGTGTTTTAAAGCTTAGAACATTTTAATATGCATGACACAATTTATGCTTTAGTACAACGTGCATATTTTTGTTTTCCTTCAGTATCCGACAAGTAAATGAAGCATTCAGGTAGATGGACCACCAGTACAATTTTGCAACACACACTGCAAAACGACAATTTATTTGCTTGCTATTATCCAAAATACAAGGCTCAATTGTGTGCACGTTTTAAATTTGAAGACTATAAAGATATGTAGGCCTGGAAAGTCTTTGACCACACATCAGTTATCTGCTTTTCGCTTGCTAAAACATTTGATAAAAAGTTGCAATAATTGAGAATTATAAATTTTTATTCTATATTGTTAGGTTTTTGATGTTTTGTAATTGGCGATTATATAAACAAAAGAACTGAATTGTACTACGTTTAAAAAGTCAAGAAGTAATGTGCAAATAGTTAAAAATAAGATTATTAGGTCTAGGGTTCGAGAATTACCAAAAGAGAAAAACAGCACGGATTTTCGCTAGACCGTTGCCAAAGTTTGGCTCGAGGTACAAAAGCAGAAATATTGTTGTTAGATTGTCTCCCCTACTTTGTTCGAGCGACAATCGACTATCGCTGAGCCCTCGCTAGAGCGACGATTTATCCGAATAAAATTTATTTTGCGATTTAAAGGCTTTTTCTTTAGCCCATTCATTTTTTAACCTATCTATATATTACCAAAAACACTTTTGTACGAAAATTCATGAGGTAAAACATTGAGAGAACTACATTTGTGAGAGATTCATTTGATTTTATCTTTTAACCTTCATCTACTTTGATTGTTTTGGTGAGAAAAACATCGTTTTTATAATCCAAATACCAAACTTTCTTTCCTCTACATCTAATCAGAATTCTGAAGATCGAGGAAGTTCGACTGGAGTTCCAGTCTGTGAAGAACGCTGGGTTCTTCGTTGATCCACGGAAAATAGACAATTCCACAAGGTTAAGAGTATTGCAGGGTAGCAGATTTCATGGAGAACTTTGGAAACAGCAGCTAAGGATTAGTGTAGGGAAGCACATGATCTAGGGAGAGTTGTAAGGAGTGTAGTCGAGTGATCAGATAGTACGAATCATCTAGTCTGATAGACTGTAAATTGTTCAAATTGTTTATAGTGGATTGTTGATTGGCAAAATGCCCAGAGTTTTTTCCAGTTGGTTTTTCTGTGATCATATGGTGTGTTGATTTTCTGCTTTATTTATTGTTAAGATAATTTGCGATATTCAAACATATGATAAACTGATGGGATTGTTTAACCATCTAGAAACAACAATTGGTGACTTGAGCTGAAGGAATTCGCTCTTCTTGAAATCTCTTAAAGACTGAGAAAAATACTTATCCATCATTTCCTCCTTGAATTTTTCCCAAGTTAACGCCAATTGATGCTTTGGGGTCGTAGTTTGGGACATTGAATCACACTAGTGACTCGCATCACCGGTAAACATAAACTCTGCACACTAGACCTTTTGGCCGTCAGTGCAATCTATGAGTATAAAAATTGGTTCCAACTTACAAAGTCATTACTCAACTACCTGCGGACCAGATACTCCATCGAAGGTAGGGGGCTTATGCCTTCGAAATAACTTAAATGCCGAGGCATGAGTCGGGAGGGTAATAAGAGCTGGTGGTATGGGTAGAGCTTGATTCTGATTCAGTCTGCTAAGATCTTAAATCGCTTGCACAAGGTCCCTTATCAAGTTGTTCTGGTTTGCTCGAGACATTTCCTTTGAGATGAGATATAATATCTCTCATTAACTTCATTTACCAATACCATACTTAAAAAAAAAATAGGAAATTATTTCTCAACTTGATCATAATTGATTTT